CTATGCAATCCGTGGTGGCTGGAACTCATAGCGAGTATTTGACTTTGAGCTAAAAGTAGGCGTTTTAGAGGTTCCTTCTTTGCGGCGGTTCTTTCTTCAAAAACCAAGCCTTTTTCCAAAGCTCTGTTTCAGATGACTTTTACCACAAGGATGTTCGTGGTTATGGTGTTGAATTCCCACATACGACGCCAATCTATTGACCCCAAAAAAGTACCAATGATGTGGCCAACATATCCCATGCCTCTCACGTCCACGCAAGCTGAATTCCTGCACACTTGGACGAACTGTTAGTCACACGTGGCCTTCTCCAGAGGAGATGGAATTGGCCGCGCGCACCTCTACGGTCAAGTCAGTTGAGAAATAGTTTAGAGTGTGGGAGAGTTTTGAACGTGAGCCTCCAATAAATAAAAATGAGGGTCGTCTTGAGAGTCAATAATTAAAAATGTGTATAGATAACTTTGAAAGTCTAAACTTGCATTATTTTCGAATGGCACTAAGTGTGAGTTTTTATATTTGGATGAAATGAAGGAGTCTATTGGATGGTAGTGCATCTGGCCTTATTCGAATGACTTTCCTTTCTTGTCATATACATAAATCAATCCCTGCCATAAATGCTATCACCTTTTTTGTGCCCATAAAGCCTAGCCTATACTTTAGACTAGACCAAACAAGATGGTGGCGACTATAGTGACATTGGGTTGTCTTGTCAACTCATGTTGTGTGGGATCTATTCGAGATCTAGCCACTGCCTCGTCCTAGCCGGTTCTGTCAATGGGGTTTGTTTGTAAAAGGGTATGTCCAGGTGTTTTGTGTGGGAGGGACGGGTCGCTCACACCTGGATCGGTTCACCCGCATGCATCTGGGCTTCCGTATGCCAGCGTATGAGGCATGGTCCCCCGATCTGTTTGCACGTAGGCTGATTGGGCCCCTTCATGGGTCCTATCTTTTCATGGCGTAACAATTTTATTAAATTATTTGTACATGTTTTAAAGGATATTTAGAGAGATTCGAAGCCTGTAACTCAACAAACTTGACTTGACCCCACTCTTTAGAAACTCTAAAAGACGTAAAATGTCTTCTTATGATGCCAACATAATGTGGGATTCTAGTGTGGCAAGCTAGTGGACATTAGATTGGTTGCATTTTTACTCAATCATGCTCCATTATTGCTAGCTACTATTCAAGGTACTGTGATTTATTAGGAGTGACTCCATTGGTTCCTGCTTTCTCAATACCTGGATTACCTGAGATTGGACTTCCGAATTTGCCTTCATTAGTCCTGATACAGGAAAATATCCCCTTGTTATCCAATACATATTACAACAATTTGACTATAAGACCGACTTTGGCTTTCATTTTGTCTATTTGGAAGACAATGACAAGTATGGTTTTAACATACATAAGCCGAACACAGACTCCTGCATGAAATGTCACGAATCTAAAGAGACTAGACGAATCGTGTATGTCTCATTTGAGAGTAATGCAAGTTGAGTATAGACATGATAACAGAAGTAGTTGTGGCCCATGAGAATAGTGGCAACCAACTTCTTGTGGGTGGTGAAGCCATTTAAAGCAAGTAAAATTCCAACTAATTTTTCCCGATGGAAATTCGGACAAGGCAGCAAACTTATATAATTATGTCAATGAAGTCTCCATAAATAACTTCATTGGTTTTGTTGAGTTATTTGAGCCCTTGTTTAGTAGAAATTAAAATTCAGATTTTAATTTAAATCAAAGTCAACAATTAATTTTAATCGCATATTTTATGAGATCCACAACTTTTAAACTATACATTTCATCAACTTTTATCAAAATTTACTAAAAATCTGATTTTAATCCCCACCAAACAGGAATTGATGGTGAAGTGTACGTGAAAAATGGAAATGTCAACACGATTAAGACCAATTAAATTAATTTTCAAAATTGCTTTAATTCTATGTTGAATTAATAAATTGATGGATCAAACTTGAATGACATCTGACAGGACAGTGGTATTTTTTTTAGCTTTTTACTGCCATCCTACCTAGGTCCACCACATATAGTGCAAATCAACCCCGAGAACCATGTCACTACCTCCCAATTTGAGGACCCTTAACTGATACTGAAACTTCAAATCATGTATCCTCCAGGTCAATGGGTTGCAGATGGCATCACTCACCAATTTCTCCCCACCTGCCACTGTCACATTCGCTGGCATAACTGGCTGCATTCTACAATTAAGGTTCCTGGCTAAGTTCTCATAAATAAAGCTGTAGGTACTCATACTATCAATGAAGATGGAGACCCTCCTATTTTTTATGCTCCCTGGGAGTCTAATAGTCTTGGTTCGATTGTTGCCCATCAATGCATGAATTGAAATCTCCATTACTTCACTCAATTCATTCCTTACTTCTTATTCTCCCTCCCCTCCAGGTAATTCTTCATCCTCCCCTTGTTCCTCATCATCTACAAGTATGAAATTCAGCATTCTATTCCGACATACGTGGAGACGTGTGTACTTCTCATCACACCTGTAGCATAGCCCCAGTTCTCTCTTGGTTTGGAAATCAGAAAGTGTGATAGCTTTGAATTTCAAGGGGTTGCTTGGGTTCTTTGTACTTGATTCAGTATGGGGTGTATCTTTATGGATGGTTCCAATTGGTTTGATATTATAAGGGGTCCATTTGGCTGGTGCATAAGGTTTATAGGGCTTTGCTCCTTTATTTATGGCTATAATGGTGTTCTCCTATAATAGAACTACTTCAAAAGCTTTAGCTAAGGTTGTAGGCTTAATGATTTTCACCATAGATTTGATCTCCTCTTTCAGGCCACTAGTGAAAATAGATATGTAATAGGATTCAGGTAGATGAGGCAATGATAACATCACCTGTGATTTCAATTCTTCAAATTTTTCCTGATATTCAGCAATAGATCCCTTCTGCCTTATCTTGCTAAAAACTTCAATTACTTCTTCAACAGTATTTTCTGCAAACCGTCTACAAATTTCATTGGAAAATGTACCCCAGTTCGCACCTGGAAAGCTGGTTATAAACACATGGAACCATATATCTGTTTTCCCCTTCAAATACATTTCAGCAATGCCCACTTTCATTTCCTCGGGCACTTAATGAATCGAAAAATACTTCCTAGCTTTCCTTACCCATTCTCTAGGGCCCTCTCCACTAAAGTATGGAAAATCAATCTTAGGGATTTTTATGTTCAATCTGTAATCTCCCCTATTCATTCCTTGTGAAAAAGAATTCCCTGTCACAGTGTTCAATACTCATTCCTCCGACAGAATGGGAGTCTGTTGGTCCTCTACTTGTATCTATTTGCCATTTCCTTGGGGTGAAGCATTCCCAGAACTAACTTCCTCCACTCATCTTAGCCAACATCCCCACAATGTTCTCATATGTTTTATTCATCTCCACCATTAATCCTTTGAGTGTATCATGTATGCCACAGAGATGCTTCATAGCTTGATCCGTGTTTTGATAAGCAACACCCAGCTGGCCCAACTCCTTATCAATCCTTTTAGTCTGCTCTTCCTGGGACTTGTTTCGAGTTTCCATTTCTCCCAAGTCACGTACTGCTCTGATACCAAATGTAACGGTTGATCCTCAGCACCATACCAATTACACACCAATTGAATTAATAAATTCAAATGACAAATGGAATTTTATTAATTCTGAAGGAAATGATAACAACAGAAGAAGAAATTATAGAGAAATTGATGAAGAAAGAGAAAGAGGTAGAAGAAGACTTGGAAAGGAAGAATTCAATTCACATCACACATTTTCTATTCTCCTCATTACAATTATATAACCAATCAACAAGGAAAAAAATGTGAATGTTAGGAAGGACAAAGATGACTAACATATAAGATTGATTATAACTCAAACGGCATTATTTACAACTCAAAATGACACTTTTATTCCTAACTAAAACGATGCCGTGTTGAATTTGAAAATTGGTTGTGACCGTTAGTCCTCCTCTTCTTCTTTCCCTCTTGGCTTGCGTCTGCTTCTCTTCTTTTTTTGCTGCCACTTCCATTGATCCTCTCATTTTCCTTCGTAACAGATTATTTTCCATCTACTAAAGCAGTATGTAGCGTATCGGCCAGCATCTTTTGCAAAATTTATTGCTCCAATTGATTTCACATGCATATACACAAATGATGTTTTTATATGTCAATTTGTGGTTATCTTTTACATTGTATCCATGCTTGCATAGATGACATTATTGGTGAATTTGTATTGCTGGAATATAAGTCAAGGATGAATTAGGGGAAAGATGATTGAACGTGTTAAAAGAGTCAGGGGTAAACCCAAGCTATCATTGTCTATTGTGGTCGCTAAGTTCTAAGGATCTAGTTGTCGGATCTTCGAGTGGATCTATCAATAAACCGAAAGAAGTGGTGAAAAATGAAACATTTAGCCGATCATGTATTTATTGAGAATAAGAACTAGATTTTTGTTGTTGTATGGCTGTAGAAGATGATAGAACAAGCATACTACAGTTCTCTGTTTAATTTGGAAAAATCAATACTTATATACCTAATATGATCATAATCAAAGATACTGATATAGTGATATGTTGGTAGCAGTCCAAGTAACTCCTCAAATTGGACCTAACTCATCTAAAGTTAAGAAAATTGCCAACATAGATGCATGCATCATAGATATCTATATGCAGATTCATATGTTCATTTATTCGTGAGTCTCTGAATTCAAACTGTGTTTTTTGTGCTCCTGTGTGGATACAACATATAGTATATGATGCTGCTTTAAGTGCATTTCAATGCATTACTATTTTTACTCTATAAAGTCCATGTCTCCACATTTCTTGAATCTCTTGCTTCAATACCAAATCCTTAAGAGAAAGTATTGATACCGACTTCGTATATATTTTACATGTTCTATATATATTTCTTTTTTTTGTTGTTGTTGACTATTGGTCGGTCTCTATTTCATTGTTTGTTCTAGGTGGGAACATACTTTATAGGGAAGTACTACTACCCAATGCTACAGAACCAACCTGATTTTGTGCACCAGTTATACAGCGAAGCCAGCACCATCCTTTGTCTTGATGGCAACACCAGAGAGACAACCAGTGCTATTCTGGTATTTTATATGAAACTACTTATTTACGTGTAGTTCTACATTTACTACATCGAAAAACTTCCTTATGAGAGAGAGAAAGTTCTGGATCTTTTATTGATATGAATACTGAATTAGGTTTGATTTACATTGCTTAAATATTATGACTACTGGAAGGGGTTAATAACGTGCTAACTCAAAAATGACAACTTATACGAACAATAGCAACTTATCTAATTGCCTCCCTCGAGGTAATGGAGTGTTGGAGTCTATCTTATATGCTTGTTGTGCGCATGGAACACTGGGTTAGAGGCTGGTGAACCAGCGGCTTTATTATCACATCACAACAGTGGTTTCTGATGTAGTTGCTGCCCCAGCTGACCGAGTGGACTATGAATCCAAGCTAACTTCATAGAATCTTGAGCCAAAGCCTTATTTATGCAGTGTTCAAAGTTTATACCAAACAAAATAAAAATTTGTGTTTCTTATTACCAAGTATTGTAAATCTAGGTTTATTCCCTTCCTTGATTTCTTACCTTAATTAAGACTTGTTAAACCGTATATAAAGAGGGTTATTATCTTGTTTTATACGATCTAGCAACCACCTTCTGCTTCTTGGAGCTCCACTGAATGAGATCACCTTCACGATGCAATTACCACTGGTGTTTCATTGCCGGCTTATTTATTGTTTATTCTGTTACAATGATCCATTTATTTAAGCAGCATACTCAAATCTGTATATAAATCTGAATTTCAAACTTAAGTGAATCATATATTTTGGTTTCATTTCTGATCTTTCAGCCAAACTGTCAACACACGGTCAGTTTGATCCTTCAATCTATTTGGTTCCAGTGTTGCGGAAAATTAATTTCCTTTCTCAATATTATAGCGTGAAAGCAGTTCAAAATTTCCACTTTTTTTTTTCTGATACTTGCTTTTCTTTAAATGCTGAATCCATTACTGAATTAAAATCATCCCTTTTCCCTTTTCATGATTTTTTTTATCCATAATTTCTTGGTTTACTATTTGTTGTGATGGTGTTTTGAGTTTTTCTTCTCTTATTTCTTTGCAGCAAATCCACCAACTTCTCACGTCACTCAATTATAGGGGCATAGAAATTAAGAGTGCAAAATCTTTAGAATCTTGGAATGAAGTTTTAGTAAGGTTGCAGGTTCTATGCATGTAAAAACTATGTAATTTGAAGATGAAGTTTTTGCAAACATTTTTTCTTGCACCTCAGGAGAAAGGCTACTTTGTTCTCAATGACATATTTCCCTATATCGATGAACAAATTCTGCAGCATCCATTGACCTATTTGTCTCAGAGCAATTTTGATTCTAAGCTCAATGCTTCAGCTACAGCCCAAGAACAAGGTCATTTTTCCACTTTAGTAGTTCTTTTCTAGAAGTAACTTTACCCAAATCTAGAAGAAGATTGATTTCATTAGCATATTTTGTTGGCCCAAATCTAGAAGAAGATTGAATACATTTTGTGTTGAATGGTGAGGTGTTTCATGTTTGAATGCTTTTTCATTCCTTTTATCCCAAAAGACTTATCATGTTTGACCTTTTGCGGTTAAAGAGACAAGTTGTATAGATTCTCATATTAGCTTGCTCATGTTGTGGACTCAAATTGATACGACAATGATATTCCTAGAAAATAATACCAATTCGAGCTTTTGCTTTTCGAGAACTAAATAAATATATTTTGTGATAATGCATTACTGTTTGACCTTTTTGCTTGTACAATTACTGCCTGTTATTTAGATGCATACTTATTGTGACTTAAAATTATGATACTTGATTAGGGTCTTCCAGTGCATCCTATGCCATCAAAATCTGGTTTTAATATTTCAAACTTAATTATTTAAACAAGTTTCTAACTGAAATTCTTCCAAAATATTTCTATAAGAAATATTTGACAGTTGATTTATTCCTCCATATCAAGGGGAATACTCAATGTATGAGAGGAAATTATGAATTTTATGACCCTTTTGCACCTCTTTTATATGTGAAAGTTCACTTGTAAGCAATATAAAAGGTGTTTTTTCTAATTTTTGGATTCAAATGACTATTTTTAGTATCCAACTACATATTGGGTGGAGAAATCCAGGATGGAGGGTTTGTGGCTCCTGCAAATATTGAAGAGCATGGTCCAGTCAAAAACTATAACTTTCCAGAGGAGCAGCTACACCAAGTTCCCGAATCTGAAAAGATTCTTGAAGATAATTTTTCTTTGCAGTCAAACGGTTCACTTCAGGATGCTATGAACTCTGTACCTGTTCATTTTTACACAACTATTGAGGAACCCACCTGCTATAGAGCCCCAAAAGCATACTTATGCTTCTATTGTACGTGTTGTCATCCAAGTCTTATACTGCTGCAATTTTACACTTCACTTTCCTAATTATAATAGCCCGAATGAGTTTGAACTCATTATGTGTTACATTGTTGATGGAAGTTACACGTTGCTAAAGGACAACATTCTCCAGCAGCGCCTTCTCAGCCCTCTGCTATCAAGCATATGCCTCCAGAGTGCAGCATGCACATGAATCTCTTAGTCAGCCATCTGTTGCTGCAGCAAACACAATTGAAATGTCTGGGATGGAGACCGTGGAAGAAGCATCAACCATGGAAGACGAAGGTGACTTTCCTCTAATATTTGTTCAATTTTGCTCATTGCCTCATTACTGTTTCTCTTAGACCATCTAGAAAACAGAGTATGGCCATTTTTGCTTTAAAAAGGAAATATTAGTTACTGACCTTTTTCTGTATTTTTATGATATTCGTCCACAGTTGAAATGAAGTCGGTGTATGTGAGAAACGTTCCAGCGACGATGGCTGCTTTTGAAATTACGGAAGAATTCAGGAAATTTGGTAAACTTACATCTGATGGTGTAGCCATTAGACCCCGAAAGCTTTGTTCTTTTGGGCTTTGTCCGTTTAATTAAAAAATTTTGGGTTGTGATGCCAAAATCCAAACATTTGGGCTATGATGAAAAACTGGGCTAAGCCCACTGCCGGTAATATATGGAATAATTCAAAACTAAGGAATTAACTATTCACAATTCAAAAATCAGGTTTTATGTTTGAAAGTGCAAAAATCAGATTTTAGTTAATTAATTAAAAATATTTATTAATTAAATATAATAAGACTACAATTATGTAATTAATAGTCACATATACATAATTAGAGGTCACAGGTCACATTTTTTAAAATTAATTGGTCACATATTATTTCAAGGTCACAATCCAAAAATTTTATAGGTCACGGATTATTTCGAGATCGCATATTTTTAAATAGTCGGTCACAGATTATTTTTGAATAACATATTAATAAATTTTTAGGTCATGGTTAATTAATAGTCACATATTATCCTACCTAAATCAAGAATTTACAAGTCACATTTAATTTCACTAGTCACATATTTTCAAGTTTATGGTCACAAATTATTTTAAAGTCACATATTCTCAAATTTTTAGGTCACGTGACTTGACTACCATTCCGGCCACCAACATCACCACCAACAAACCCACCACCACCGCCTATATCCAACCTAAATCCACCGCGCCACCACCACCGTCAACACCTCCACCTACAAAACCAACAATACCCAACCCACAACCTCACCAACAAAACCAACCTCTCCACCGCCGGAAACCACCACAGCCACCAGACCACAACCACAGCCAAAAACCCAACCAAACACACACAACAATGCACCAGCCCCACAAACTCACCAAAATCGTCGTCGATCCACCATAGCCCCCAACACATCTACCCGCACAGCCAACAAAAAATACCTAAAAACTCCCCAACACCACTAAACCACCACCACAACTCCACTGCCACTCCACCATTGCACGCAAACCCACAACACACAAATACACACACACACACCACTCGTCGTGATGCTGCTGTGAAAGTGTCGCACGGCAGCTCGCGTGACGCTACCGTTCACTGCAATGACGATGGGTTAAGTACTAGATCGCGAAAGAAAGAAGAGAGGGGAATTTCGGAGGAGATAGCAGATCTCTGACGGAGCAGTGCAGTCTCCAGCATCTGTGAGGAAGAGGCGTGTCTGTGAGGGAAATCTGGGCGACGCCGGTGCTCTACTCCGGTGGCAGTAAGGGCGAGGGTAGAGAGAGAGACGAGAATCGAAGAGAATGAGAGTAGAAGAAAATGTAGTGACAGAGAGAAGAAAGGCGAGAGTGAAGAGAGAGATGGTGAGATATTAGGGTTTGAAAATGGTTTTAATAATAATATTAAAATATATAATTATACCTGATTTATGATTATTAAACTTTTGTACCTGATTTCTGAAAAGTAATCTCCAAACATCGGTTACCGTGTAATTTCCTCGTATGTATTATATTTCCATTGTCTGATAATTCAATGAAGAAGCCCAATTTCCCAAACCCAATAAATGGCCAATCTCTCATTTTTTAAAGAGCGACTTTAGTCACCTTGAATGTTGAGATTGTTAGTTGCTCTGAACTATTGATTCCATCAGAGATCTACGATGATGGTTGAGTTTTATAAATTAGAGCCTATGTGTTTGCCCGAATCACTTTTACGCTGTTTGGTTTTTCCTTTGGGTTGAGTTCTAGAATTGTCTTAGTGGTTTTGTCCTTGTTTTTCATCTTCTTTGTGTCGATCTTCAACTTGTGGTTGTTTGATCTCTTTGGTTCATTTGTGGTTCAAAGTCTCTGTGATTCAATTTGTGAGAAGAGTGTTGGTTTCAGGTTTGGGGACTTCTGGTTCATAGAAGTAGCTTTGACTAGCCTTTGAGGGTTTAGCGTTGGTTCTTTTGATTTGTACAGAAGGGTACAATGTGTCTAAACCCAAGATTATTGATATCCTGGTGCTATTCTTTTTCATCTATATTCGTTGTGTAAATTTGAGATACAAATATTGTACGACCTTTGGGTTATTTTCGATTTCTTGGTGTAATAGTTGTATCAGAGCCATCAGTGGCTTTTAATGTCCTTCGTCTGTGGTCTGATTGTGAAAAATCAATTTTCACAACCAGATCTGTTGAGATCTCATTCTTAGTTTGGAACCCTAGATCTATTCGATTCTAGATCTAATATTGGTTCTCTGGTGATTTACAGTTTGCATCTTAGTGTTTGATCTCACTGTTCGTGGTTTTCTTGGTTGACCTTAAATCTCTGGGGTTTTGACTTGAGATTTCTGGTTTTTGGTGGTCAACACTAAGGACCATCATTCTGGTTTGCGAGGATTTTTTTCCCTTCCCTAAATCTAATTTTTTTTCAATCCTATATATAATATACTATGTTGATCTTTATGAAGATATTATACAGATTAATCTTCTCTATTCATGCTAGTATACATATTTTGGAAGTGCTTGAATTGTATGCGTTTACTTGACCTGTGAAATACATTCTTATAATTCCTCCCTGCTTCCTGTTCTTGTGTTCAATTTGAGCCTTGACCTGAGGACCTGATCTTCAAGGAATCTCAGTGAAATTGAACATTTGGAACTTGAAGAACTTTATGTTCCTATAAATAGAGAAGGAAAAATTAGGGTGGGCTTTCCAACCTTTCAGCTAGTGTAGATGTGACTCTAGCACTTTTGAAAGTGAGGTTACAGGTCCCCAACTTATGTAACTCGTTGACTTTGGGTCCCCACTCATTGGAAATAGTAGATTCCACTTTTAAAAAGCTTTTTCTTTTAATTGAAATGATGGTTATATCCTTACTTCGATTCTACTAGAAAACAAATCAAAACCACCATGTGCTCAACCACCGCTGACCCATGGAAGATTCAAATCCACATATAAACCCATTGGCTCCACCATTGCGAACCTCGTCAAATATGCAGAATCAAATCCAAAACCTCCTCCTTGCGCTGGCAAGCATAGTTTGACATGTTCAACCTTTCCCCATATGCAATCCATTGTATGGGGATCCAAATTCACAGAATTGCATGAGTTGGGAACCTGAAACCATACTTTTGAAGGTTGGAGGCCATATTCACACTAGCTGAAAGGTTGGAAAGTCGAACCCTAATTTTTCAAAGTTCAAAATAGTATTTTCTAAAGAGGTCAAGTTTCAAAATTGTTCGATAATATAATATTTAGCAAGGATAATTGCAATTCCATCAACGTATAAATTATTTACAAGCTCGACATCATTTTGAAAATTTGTTCCCTGTTTTTTTTTTCACTTTCATCCTCATGAAGGTACTCCTCTAGGGGGAACATTGCATAGGTTGATATATGCACAATGTCAAATATTTATCGTTTATGGATAAAAAAGTAGGAACGTCTAATCTCATTCACTCTCCTAACTTTTGTTTCTCAGTATTAGTCCAACAAAATGCTTTCGCCACTGATATCTACACATTTCACTACTCCACCAAAATATATGACATTCAACATGAAACTCAATTGCGAAAGTAATATTTTAAAAAACCTCAAATAATACAAGTCAAGAATCGATAAATGATCCAATGATAGAAAAAAGTCAAAAAGTCAATCCAAAGGTAGAGTAGTAATAATAATAATAAATAAATAAATAAATACCTTATTAGGGTCACGAATTGATGGATTTAAGAAAACCTTAAGGTCAAGAGTGGATAAAAATAATAATAATAATATTACCCCTTCAAGCCCCTCTATGATTTAGCGAAAAATTTGATAAAAAAAACTAATCTACAAATTTAATCAAATTTTAAATCATACATGTCATCAATTTTTTTTAAAAATTTACTAAAAATCTAAATATAGATAAACAAATAAAGAAATATGATAAGGTGTGAAAAATTTCTATCCATAAATTATAAACAGATCGACCTACTTAAAGAGCTACAAATATATATAAACAAAATATATCAAAAATATTTGTGATGTCATGTTTTTTCTTAAAAAAAAAAAACCAATAAAAAATAGAATTGTAACTTTCTTACAAGTATATCTAAACAAAGGAGGCTAAATAACACCAACCCTCACAAAATGGTCCAAAAACCTTGATAGTTTGTATGCGGTGCTTTCATGTTGCCTAGAGAGGGACTTCCTCTCCACCCAATTCTCTTCAATTTCTTCTTTTTGGTCACTACGATATTTTCCTTCGTCGTCCTACCCCTGGACGACGAGGCAAGCGGAACCTCCTCTCTCCACCTTGTGCGCCACCTCTGCTGCTGCCACCACCACAACCACAACCACCTCCTTTTTTTCTTGTTTCTTTTAAAAAATGGCGATCTTAAAACCCTTTCAGCTTTTAGAAATAAACATAATTTCTGCACAAGATTTGGAGCCCGTTTCGAAGAAAATGAAAACATATGCAGTTGCATGGGTGAATCATAATCGAAAGCTTTCGTCTCGTGTCGATTCGAAGGGAAATATGAATCCCACATGGAATGATAAATTTGTTTTCAGGGTTGATGAGGAATTTCTACGACGTGATACATCTGCTGTTATGATTGAAATATACGCTGCTCATTGGTTCCGAGACACCCTTGTTGGCACGGTTCGAATCCTCGTCGGAAACCTAATTCCTCCACCTGCTCAGCCGCACCGCCGCCGCCAACGTTATGGTGGAATGCGGTTTGTTGCACTTCAGGTTTTTACGCGTTCTTTTGTTCAGATTCCAATCTTCAGATGCATGCAACCATTTTCATGTAGTTTTTGTGTTTGATGCATTAATGTTGTTTGTGATCTAATAATCTAACATTATAGGCTGGCAATAAAACTATGGTCTGTCATTTGATCCGATGTTATAGCTGCCTTCATGGCATTTTTGCTTATAAATGATTACAAATCGTGAATCCTTCGCCAAATTTATTGAGAATAAGATTTACGTACGTCTCAGGTACGTCGACCATCAGGACGACCACAGGGAATACTGAACATTGGTGTGGCCGTATTGGACAGTTCAATGAGGAGCATGCCATTGTATGCACAATGCGCTTCGGCATTTGGATTTCACGATTTGATGGATGACCCAAATCTAAATAACCATCTTCATAACAAAGAAGATGAACACGACAATAATCAGCCACCGACTCTCAAGCATATATTGCGCCGTTCGAAAAGTGAGCGTAGCGAACTCATACACTTGGACATTTGTTCCGACACCAACAGTTCATTGATTGCAATCCCAAAAAAGATGGGGGCACGAGGGAATGGCGGGTCGACACTGAGTATATCAGAAGCTGGGGAGACTTTCGTTAAGAGCAAGAAGAAGAAAGGCAAGGCGAGCTCGGTTATCAGTGGCGCAGAGCTTCGGGAGAAACCGAAACAAAAAAGTAAGAAAGGAAAGTCAAGTTCAGTGGTAAGTGATTCAATTGTTAGCAAAGAAACCTCTGTTAATGGCAAGATTGCTAAGCAAGATTTGAAGAAGAAGGGCCAAGAAAATGTCGACAAAAATAATGAAAAACCGGGGCTGGAATCGAAGGCGTTCGATGAAAAACCAGGTAAGAAAGTTGGGGTACAAACTATAGAGAAACCACCAGTACCAACTATTGGAAAGCCTATTTCAAAGTTCAATGGATATGAATATGGTGATGCGCCAAAAGGTGGCAAATTTTTTATTGGAGCACCATTCAAAGCTCATTCAATTTTTTCCGACTCCGAAGTCGGCCCCCCACCATCTGAGGTGGCGGCCATGATGGCAGAAAGAAAGTACCTTTTGGATGATAATCAGAGCTCTGTGTTGGATGGTTGGAGCTTGGATGAAAGTGTTGAAGGGCTTAAATCAAAGCTGGAGAGGTGGAGAATGGAGCTGCCACCGGTGTATGATCGAGGCTTCTCTACGAGTAGCTACCAGTCAAGGTCAAGTGCTCGGCCAAGCCAAAGGCAAGCTGATAAAAGCATTGGCTTATTCTCCTGCTTTGGCAACATATGTGGGTATGAGTGCCAATGCGTATGCGGTAAGCCTCCTGGGAGGAGTATGAGCTCAACCAGGTTACGTAGCCCAGCTACCACTCCGGGCCAATCATTCTTTTGAGAAAGCATAAACACAACGCCAAACTAAACCTGTTATGTTATGACATGATTAGATAGTTTTGGACAATATTAAATAAGAATAATAATTTATTTATAGTATCCATTACAATCGAAAACTACATACCAAACATCCACTTAGTATATTTACCGTTGTTCACATGATTATGAATCAAGGTGGGGTCGAGGAAAAGATTTAAGGCTATGTTTGGTAAAAATTCTCATTTTCAACAGTAAATCAATTCTCATTTTCAACCACACATTCTTCAATAAAATAATATTTTCTATCACATCAATAATTTTATCTTCTTTTTCAACAACAGTAAGTCAATTCTCATTTTCAACCACACATTCTTCAATAAAATAATATTTTCTATCACATCAATAATCTTATCTTCTTTTTCAACCACACATTTCCCATCATATCACTATTCAAAATCAATTTTTCCCCCAAAAAATCCCTACCAAACACACACTAAATATTCTTCTTCCTAGTGCCGTACAAATTACCTCTATTGTTAATGAGGGTCTTCACAGGGAGAGGAAATTCAGACTTTTGGGGGTCATCATGGTACAAGTTTGGAAAACAGAGTATTCTTTACTTTCATGGCTTTCTCATAAGCATGTACACCTGGATATGCAACTCCCTCTTCCAATAATGCTACTATTCAAACGAACATCGGGTTGGTGCAATTTCAAAACTAACAATGTAAAAATAAATTTAACTACGTAGATTTTATACAACACTATAATTTTTATTATCAGCATTCAACAGTAGTACAGCTAAAAATTAGATTAAATTATCAAATATTTAACCAAAAAACCCATCATCTCAAATCCCAAAAAAAGGGACAAGGTTTGGGCCAATGGTAAATGTTCAGATACTCCCCCTCTTGCCCAAACATGGCCCTGCACCATTTTCTCAATCTCAATGAATATCAGACATGCACCAAGCATGGCCCCGCACCAATTATCAAACTCATGAATTTCCAGAAAATAAGATGAGAGCCTGAATATGGAAGTTTGAGGAGTTTTGATGTATTCATCACTTGGATACCTACTCGAAAGCATCAGCTTTTGGCACTTAATTTCTCCATAAGGATCTTGTTCAAAAGTGCAGGATTAGCCTTGCCTTTTGATTCTTTCATTACCTATTAATTTAAATAAAAAATTCAAGAAGCATGTTAATGAAGCAAATATTAAAAAAAAAAAAAAAAACAATCTCGAGCCCAAAATAATGGAGAAAGACCTCTTAAATTGTGTGAGATTTGTACCTGGCCAGCAAAATAACCTTGCAGCTTAGTTTTACCCCCTCGATATTGCTCCAACTGCTTTGGATTATCTGCAAGGACTTTATCCACCATTTTCTCAATCTCAACAGGGTCTGCAATCTGATTTACAAGAAAATGGTAATCAGTTGGTCATAAATGTGTACACATATATTTCAATCCGATGATAGCACTTATATCACATCCCATAATCATGATTCTCTTGTATCAACATAAGAAAGTACTAAACTATGAGCTCAAACTTCTTAGCACGCTTCTGCTTATTTTACTGAAATAATTTTGTCTTGAATCATCTTGCATTTGAAAATGAAGTGCCTATCACAAGCATATATATTGGCCTTGCATGTTGGACTGTGTGGATTTTAGGAGAAGGCCGTTTCAGCGGAAGAGAAGTGTAAGATCCTTTGCACACTTCTTCATTATAGTGAAAACCTGCTGCTGCAAATAGATGTAGCTCCTCGTTGAGACAGAACCACTATAAAACTGTGCGTGTTTTGCAGGTTTCTGACTTTGCTTTGCTAATTATTACACATCAGAATTAGGCCTTAATTTCTAACAATAGAGATGTTTCCAATCAACAATAATTTGTTATCAATTCAAAATAGAAAACAAGCTAGTGTGAAGTTCACTAAATTCGTATTACTATATGAAAGAAATAGCATGACACTGAAATGGCAAATTTAACATAGCAATTTGGGAGAAACGAGAATTAGGTGATGCATTTGACAGTTTGCAGACATGTAGCAATCATCAGGATAACCATTTGAATTGTCATGGAAGATGCTCTAATGTTTAATCCAAGATTTAGATCACAAAAAATTCGAATTGAAGCACCGAAAATTGATAATCAAATTTGCAGACATACGTGATTTGACTTGCCTGAACCAAATTCTTCTCTTTTATCAGTCCTTTAACAGTTCCACCCTTTGCCATTAGCTCGAACAATATCTACAAATTTTATTCATAAATACTGTAAACACAAGCAGAGCCTCAGTATACTAAGAAGAAACATATTCTAGTACATATAGCTGTTCCACCCCCACCACCCCCACCCTGGCACCAACAACCACCCTCTCCACTTGTATGTATATTGTGTGTGATTGGTTTCTCTACTCAAATGTAATCTTCTCCTCGAATAAACCCACTAATACGGTGAACTGAATCATATTATGGCACTGAATGGATGTTTCCAAATAGATTTCGTACTCTTAAGCCTTGAGATATGGATGGAGGTAGCTAGTCACCGGCTGCCATTAGAATGAGGGCGAAGTGATTTTCTTCTTACCACAGGCCTTAACTTATATGCAAAGCATGAGGGAAGTTATGAAAACAAGATGGCTTCGAGGAAGGGAATAAAAGAAGTACATCGATCTACAAGGCAAACTAAGCAATAATTAAGTGCACAGTCAACTTAGAAAGTACACAACAAAACTGGATATTTACCCCCAACCAAAAGAAATGTATACTCAACAGCTGACGAAGAAAATGTTTATGAATACCTCTTTGCCAATTTTACCACTTATGGTCCCACCTTTAATTGAAGATATAAGCTCAACCAATTCGTGTGAGTTAAGTTTAATTTCACTAATAGACAACTTCTCATTTTTCATGTAGGCAGCAATATCTCCCATTATCCAATTGGCAGCCAGCTTTAAATCAGCACCTTCTGCAATAGTTGCATCAAAAAATTCTGCAACCTGAGATAATTGTTGGTTGAAGTGGAAACCATCAGCATCGTGACGGTTTGTGCAGTGCTAGATATAATAATATAAATAATGTATTCGTGGCATAGATATGTTGAAGATTATAAGGCAAAGCAAACCCAATTACTCAACATGTAAAGTGAAGAATTTCCAGATAATAATTATGCCAACATATAGGAACCAAAATACATATTAAGGACCAACAGGACTTACATTGATGTCATTGGTAAGAAAGAGAACATCCTGCATGTTTAGACCCATTCTTTCATATCTTCGACGCTTCATTTCCGGAAGTTCAGGTAAGGAATTATGGACCCCATCAACATATTCCTCAGTGAGCGTAACTCCTGGAAGATCAGGCTCCGGAAAGTAGCGATAGTCAGCAAGTCCTTCCTTCTTCCTCATTGTGACTGTTTTCTAGAAGTAGAACAAACATGTAGCTTAGCAGCAAATACAGAGGAAATTCTTTGCCACATTGTTACTTCTCTTTTTATCATGAGAACAAAATGAAATATAACCTGAGCACCTTCTTCCCAGAGACGGGTTTCTTGTACAATTTGATCAGCCTGACCTTGACTATAGAGAAGTACCTGTCTTGATATCTCAAAATCGATAGCCCTACTCATTGATGAAAACGAATTCAAGTTCTTTATTTCTACCTGTTGGTGCAAGTTTGAAAAGGAATAATGTAGAATTTTATTTAATAAGCATTTAACTATACGGATATCAGCATCTAAGAAGTACTATAATCTATGTAATATAACTAAAATAATCAGTAGCAAAGCATATATAAGACGAAATAGATACAATATATTGAAAAGTCAAGCGGTTAACTAAAGACTGCAATTCATTTCAAAGACACAGTATCAGCATTCAACTAAATTATCATATAACTTGCTATTATTTTGTTTTGACTAAATTCATTCACAGAATATTGTGTGACAAACTATGAAAAACTACTCTCATCTGAAACAGGACATAATATGTCAGGGATCTTCGTTAATGTCTCGATGTCAATTTAGTGTTCGTCCTTAAAAGTTTGCACAAAGAGATGTATCCTTGAATCAACAAGTTTAATTTCATATGCCCCTGTCTGGCCTCTATTAATATTATAATTCATTTTGCTATATCTTCTTATCAACCACACATTCTCCAATAAAATAATATTACACGTAAACTCAACTTTTATTTCTTTTTTAAAGACACATTCTCTAAAAAATTACTATTCCAAAATACATTTTTTCCAAACTCTATTTAATATGGAGGCCAAACAGGTTACTATTATTTTCTGGTTCCAAGAAACAAGATATTAACAGAAAAAGAACTATTTACCTTAGTACCAAACTCTAACTGCCCGATTGGACGAATGGAGATATTGACATCACAACGAAGTGATCCTTCCTGCATATTTCCATTACTTACTCCCAAATATCTAACTAACCTCTGCAATTCTGCAGCATATTCAGCTGCTTCAATACCGGTTCTCATATCAGGTTCTGAGACAATCTCAAGCAAAGGCACTCCTGCCCGATTCAAATCAACCTACATGACATTAAACATACAACGTAAAACCACTAAAATCTCAATAGCTTAAGGCAGAAATGCAGTAGTCTTATCATTGAAGAAAAGCAATTGCATGTATGCATAGAACTTCAATCACCAACAAAAATAGACTCCAAAATAGCAAGGCAGACATCACTAGTAAGTTCGTATTACAAGCCTTGGTAAAATAAAATGTCATAATTAATATCTCAAGTTCATAAAATCATTCTATATATTAGAAACTGACTGCTCAAACGGGAGGCTTGGAGAATTAGAGAGAAAAATTATGAATGGAGAAAAAAGAGGGGGGGGGGGGGGGGGGGGGGGGGGGGGGGGGGGGGGGGGGGGGGGGGGGGGGGGGGGGGGGGGGGGGGGGNGGTCTGGATAAAAGTACTGCTTCCTATCAAACTTTGAACTCAGAGAAAGTTTACAGTTGAGTGCAAGACCAACTTTAACGGCACACTCTATGACCTTCGTATTCAGAACTGGCAGTGCCCCAGGCAAACCCATGCACACTGGGCAAATACTTGTGTTTGGTTGAGCTCCATAATTGTACGGACAGCTACAAAAGGCCTTGGTTAGAGTGGAAAGCTGCACGTGGGTTTCTATGCCTATGATTGCTTCATAGTTTTTCAAAATTTCATCATGCTTTTTAGATTGGGTTTGAGTTGATACTTTCAGCTGAGGCTGTGGCTTCTCTTGTATTGCAGTTTGTGCTCGTATGCTTTTCATTGTACTATATAGCATACTATGTTTTCTAAAAAAAAATGACGACGGGCACATCAGAAAAGAATGGGTATGTAACCCTCTAAAGAATGATAAAGCCATCTTGCAAATTCTTCAACTCTGATCCACACTGAATATCAAGCTTCAAAACAACCTTCAAAACAAATAAATTGTCAAAATAATACCAGTGTCCATTAAGTTGATCAAGAAACTTACAACTTTAAAATAAAACTAATTCAAAAAAGGACACACACAGAGGCTGAGATTAGCCGACCCCATACTGGTATGGGATAAGGCATAGTTGAGTTGAGTTTATTGCAAAAAAACGACAATCAATAGTTATGCACAAATCTTTTGATATTTATCAACCAACTCTTTTCCTTGTTAATTATCACATTGTGTAATCCCGCTTTAATTACAATTCTACTGCATGCCTCTCAATACAAGTTCTTGGAGGCATCTCAGTCTTCTTCCCACAAAATCCAGGCAATAATCTCTTTCCCCCCCATACTTTCAGGCATCTCAAGCATCTTTCCTCTTCCCTCACCACCATTTCTAAAATGGGCATAGATACCTCATATCTCCCCTTCCCAGTACAATCTCTTTCTTACACCTGGACTTGTCTACAGTCATTAAGCAGCCCCATCTTCTCAAGCTCACGCCTCGACTGCCAGTCTTCAGCACCACTACTTCACCAATCAAACCCAGTCTAACTTTTTACATTTTTCCCACTTCATTTAATACAGAACAGGATATCGTATTCACCTTCAGGTACCCCCGTTTATGGTTTTCGGATTATATTTCCATCACACATTTGACTCGGATAAAATTATCTCTTTAACAGTTAATTGCTGGCACGTGCATAATTATATATAACGAAAATTCATCTAGCCAGTACGTTTCTCAATACCCAGAAAGCAATTTTACAGGGAAGTATTAAATCCAATGGTTAAGAGCAATCAAATCGAGTTATTCCGAGATAAAACAAACTCAATACTGATGAGTACATAAAGTTTGTAACTTTAAACTAAAATTGAATATAAAAACCATAAATTTTCATCACAGAGAAAGGATTATGTTGAAACAGCATTATTACAAACAAAACATCCCAAATGAAGGAAAGAAACATAAAGCTTGTATCTATTAAGAAAAATATATAAGAAAAGTACCCAAATGTTAAATACCAGAAAGTATTTTTTTTGTTGTCAAGAGCTTGGAGAAGCTATGGAAGCCATAGGACAGCTTGAGGCAGAGAATAATATATAAGTGAAAAGATTGAGAATTTTTAAAGAACGGAAGAGAGTAGTTTCGTTTTATGAGTTTGGAGAAAACTGCTTGAGGTAGTTTAAAATTAATATTTTAAAATTATATAGTTATTTGATTGACAAATTTTCACGAATAATGCTAAGTGTACACAATTTTTTACACAATCTTTTACACATCTCTCACATGGAAGGGGGCCCACACATAATAAAATAATCGTGGACCCCCCTCCATGTGAGAGAGGTGTAAAAGATTGTGTAAAAGTATGTGTGTACATGTAGCATTACCCAATTTTCACAAACCCTCAAATTAAAAAAATAATAATAATTGATACTATAAGGCCATGTTTGATGGGCCAAATTTTTTTGGAAAACAAATTCATTTTTCTTGGTTTTGTCTTGTTTGATGAGCTATATTTTCCCGAGTAATGTTATTCATCCACAGTGAGGATGAAAATAAAGTTTAGGTGGCTGTAAATGATAGGTGAAATGAAAGGTGAAATTAAATGACTTATTTAATTTCACTTATCATTTAATGTTATCCAGACTGTGTTTTCATCCCAATGGGGATAAATAGCATTACTCTATTTTCCCACCCATTTGTTTTCCACTTGGCTGCTTCACGTGCCTAAATGCCTTGGTTTTAGGGAAATCATTTTCCCACCATTTTTGGTGGGACAATGATTTCTCAGGTTGCTGCAATTTTTATTTTTTATTTTTTTTAAGCAATGGAAATAAATATTATAACCAATTGTAAAAAAAAATCACTTTAATGAATAATTTTCATGTAAAACAAAGTCAAATAAACACTAAACTTTGATAAAAAATGAATTTTTAGGAAACAGTTTTTTTTCTTTTTTTTTTTTTTTACGTTTTGACAATGGAAATAAATTTTATAACCAATTGTGGAAAAAAGTCACTTTAGTGAACAATTTACATGTAAAACAAAGTCAAACGAATAGAAAATTTTAAAATTTTTCGAGTGAAAAATTATACCAATCAAACACACTTAAATAACAATTCCCTGAAAAATATTTCTCTATAAAATATTTTCTTTCCACACTTGCAATTAAATGCACTTTAAAAGTACTTTACTTGTATGAAGATTTGACCTAATTATTATTCTAAAATATTAAGAGGAAGGTGGGAAAATTGAAAACTCATTGTATTTATTATATCTTTAAATATAGATTCTTTCCAAGTCTCAGCATAGCTGTGGTCGTGCCGGAGTGGTTATCGGGCATGACTAGAAATCATGTGGGCTCTGCCCGCGCAGGTTCGAATCCTGCCGACCACGATATTTTCACATTTGTTTTTCCCTTTTCTTCTTTTTAGTTTCTTGGGTTAGCTTTGTTTATGTAGGAATGAATGAAAAAATAAAAATTGTATTGACACAATGTGATCTTCGGAACCAAAATTGATTAAATAAATTATTCTCATGTCGGTATGGACAAGTGATAAGGGTGTTAAAAATAGTTGAGATATGTTGTCCAACTTGTTGTCCACTCACTTAATTATTGGTGTCACTAATCCATCATATTAATGATTGATGTGTCAATAATTAATTAGATTGACCGTAAGTTGGACAGCAAGAGATATCAACTCATTGAATATACATAATGTAGGGGTAAGGAGAATCAATATTGTTAAATACAAATTTTAATAGATAGATTTAATCTTGTTTGACAATTTAAATTTATAAATGAAGCGGATAGGTGTAAGGAGAATCAATATTGTTAAATTCAAATTTTAATAGATAGATTTAATCTTGTTTGACAATTTAAATTTATAAATGAAGCTGATATCGATGATACAAGAGCATTCAAAAGTACTATTTTTGTTGTCACCATTGCCAATTATGAAAATCGTGAACAATTTGGTACTTGAATGAATTTGACATGTATGTGACTAAAATAAAACTTCATTGTAAATTGAGCGACAAACAATGCTTTTATCGTATTGAAATAAGCGAAAAGTTCAAGTTACCCCTACACATAGTCAAGAACCCAAGATCCTACAACTTTATCAAGTACAATTTACGCTCCCGATATACATTCTATGGATTAAGAGATGAAAGAATAAAAATTCTTCTCTTTCCATCCAGAGTCAAGGTGAATCTAGTTCGATATTGTACCCATTCATTCAAAATAAGACTTATTACACGGTACTTCCAATTTCTATAAATAAAATCTTCTACAAGCTCTACAGATACACTTAGTCAATTATGTCTCTTATACGAATAGCAGCAATTCGAAAGGTTGCCCTATTCGGGAATCTGTGGATCTATGCTTATTTTCAACTCCCCGAAGCATAACTATGGTAGGAAACAGCGACCATTATGTAAATAATTTGGCGGGTTACAGGTCTCTTATACTACCATCGATTATATGGTGACTTTGATCCCAACACATTATAGATTGATCCCTCTAACAAACTTCATAAGTTTATTGGAGATCATACTCCAACAATATCATAACATGTATAATTTATTGGTAACAAGGTTTAGAAGACGAAAAATCCAAACATTGATGTTGTTAGAAACAAACAAAATATCGGAATCGCTCAAATGCTACTTGTTGAGAATCTGGCCAAATAATTAAAGACGAAAAAATATGAACAATATGAAAATAATGAATCACCAAAAAAAAAAAAAAATTGTGGAATAAGAGAATTTATTATACCAAGAAACAAAAATTGTCTTTACAAAATTTGATTCTCTTAATCTAAATCTAAAAAATTCTCGCTAGTTTACAATGTATACCTAAACTATTATCTTAAGTCTCTAAAGAGCTTACACCTTGTGTGTGTATTTATAGGAGTAAAACCCTGGAGCTATAGATAAAGTAGAGTCCTTAATCCCAAAATCATTATTCATTCTAAAGCCCTTATCCAAATCAAACTCTCAATCCATGACGAAATTTGATCACTTAACAAATCAGACATCTAAACCAAAATTATCAAAAATTCCTTCATGAATCAAACTTCCAAATCACATGGAATTTAAGTCACAAAACATAACAAACTCCACCATGACATTAATTCCATAACAAGGAATTAAGTCTTCATTCTTCAAGTCATTCTTCAACTCTTCCACCATACCCCATTTCGGACACCTCCCTGTCCCTACCGGGCATACTCAGTAACTGTGAACTAAATTCAAACCCTACTTACCATCAGAACTACCTTGTGCGCAAAACCTGCTTGAATCATTCCATTCATTACCAGTTCCAGTGAAGTCATCAAACATGCTCAAATCGCCACGAGCAACACCAATTCTACATAAGTTGTCAAAACTGTTCGAATCATCACGAGCACTTCCAACTCCACCTGAGTTATCAACCCGCTCAAATCAACACGAGCAACATGATGAACGAAATATATCATAAATCATTATATTTTATGTTATATAGGTAAAACTCAACAGTTGAACAAGAAATTGAAAGAAAGAAGTGAAAAATGTTGAAAATTGCAAAATTCAAAGTTCGAGGACCAAATTGTAATTATTCAATAGTTGATTTCGGATACAAGAAGATACTTTGAAGATTTTTAGGAGATTATTGGATGGTATTAGAATTCAAAAGGGATTGGCATATGATTAAAATATTATCAAAATTAATTTTCAATCGTACAAGTTATATTTCAGATTTTTAGTTGAATATTGAGACCCCACCCATTTGTAGCATAGTAAACGTCCGAATTGGAAAAATTCTATTTTCAAAAACGTTGTATCCCTTTCAACTATCTTTCTAACTCACTTTG